GATGTATCCCGGTTCTTTACTTCGTAGGTTAAGATACTTTTCTGGGCATTCTGGTACATATATAATTGTAACATGAATAATAATAGTACGACATAAAAATACATAACAAAAACTTTCGAACAAAATTCATAAAGCCAAAGTTTCTGCTGTATAGTCTTCCTTCATGATTAAATCGTGGTTTCTTGGCGTTACTTAGCTTGGAACTTCATGTGTTCCCTCTAGTTATAATTGGTATGATATTCACGTAATTTTCATGTTGTTAATGCTACAGGTCCTCTTTCGGTAATGTCAGAGTTCAACAGCCGAATGCAATTTAATTTAGGTCATTGGTTAGCATGATAAGTTTCCAAAGCAAATGTCTTCCGAATCAAATCTCTACTGGGTCACCGGCTACCCTGACTAAATCCCCCCCCTCCAAACCCCACCACCCAGGTATGGTACCTCAGATTGAGCATGATAATATTTTTCCTCACTCTAATTCATTGCTCACTAATCCGCCTGTCACTAGAAGGATATAAACTGTCCTATCAAAACGTCGTTAAAGAACCATGGATAAATAAATATAGTTGTCACATACCACCTCAGAGATTTACACTGTCGTCACTGACTTGAGCAATATTTCATACATGATATATATATAATTATATATTTTAGTTTGACGTTATGTCTCATATTCCTAGCTCTAATAATTCATCAAATGTCGTTGCCCATTGAAACCCAAAAGCAAACCATGCTACGTCCGCCATGCTTTTCTAATTCTACAGGAAATTACTCAAACTAAGTTGCCAGTTTACGAAGGTCTATCCCCATATATAATTTTAAAACAACATCAAGCGGCGCTAATGTCATTCCCACCTCACAAATTCGCACCACAATGTTCCTATTACTGATCGAAAAAATCATAAAAATGAAATTTAGATTACTTCCAAAGTCATAAAACTCATACAAAATTCCGTGATAGTCGGTCAGTGAGTTCAAACATTGAAAGGCAGCACGTAGAACACTGCTCTCAGAATATTTTCATTTTCCCTTAACGCATAAAACGGGGATACAAAAATACACCATTATGTCTGGAACTTCCTTGGCAGGCGTTAATTTAGATGATGCTCTGTTCCTGAAAGCAGTGACATTAGAATTAAAATATACATGGGAAGCCACCTCGATGTGAAAAGTAACTTAGTAACACCTACTTAACCGGGATCGGATTATCCTGGGATTTTGTTTCGGATCTGTATGCCCAATATCAAAATATAAAATTCATACGAAATTGCTTTTTAAAAACGGCCAGTATAAAACGACGGGAGTTTTGTTTCCGCTGCACTCCAGAAGGCTTCCATTGTTTGGTTTCTCTTCTTAGAAACGGCACAGGATCTTCTCAGCAACCACACTCATATTTTTATCATATTTCCCATCCACCCCGCATAATCGAGAATTAATTTTATTAGGACTGTATTTCCTTAACTGACACTTTCCTTCCGCTTTTTCTCATACAATCACAGTTTACGCCAGTTGCTTCGTCTGGAAGGATGAACCTACTTTCAGTATCACCTGAATTGTTTGAAATGCTCTTATGTTTGTTAAACGGCTTTCCCATCTTGGTAAGAGCATTGAAAGGCCGCGCCATAGCTCAAGCGGTTAGTCGCTGGATTCCCATTGCGGCGGCCCGGGTTCGATCCCGGGGTCTATTCAAGTGGGATTTGTGGTGGACAAAGTGGCACTGAGGCAGGTTTTCTCCGAATACTTCGGTTTCCCCTGCCAATTCATTTCACCAATTGCTCTACAATCACCCTCACCTATCATCTGGGGCTGGTGTAATAGGCTAGAAGTGGCCGCAGTACGAGGGACTTAGTCCCACCCCACTAGCAATAAAAAAAAGGCCATTGAAATGTTTACTATCAAACATATTCTAAACCGCACACAGACTCCTCCCACGCAATGAACCTCCGGGGACCTTTCTCGTAGGACAACTGGCTTCCGGAACATGTAGCCGGCCACTCATTTCTTTCTAAAACTTTTTCAAAATTTGCTACTTATCACGTGGACAGATTTATGTATGTTTTATATGCATCTTTTATCTTTACATTTATTGCCGAAGAAATAAATCGTATGTCAAGAATTTTTTTTAATTCTCACATTGGGGGGTGGAGTCCAGTTGGGTCCACTCGGCACGGCGGCCACTGATTGGCCTATTGTACCTGCCCCGGGTGATTATGATGATGAAGAATTTGGTGGAAAGAAGATTGGCAGGGGAAACCCGAAGTACTCGGAGAAAACCTACCTCAGCGCCACTTTGTCCACCACAAATCCTACTTGACCAGACCCGGGTTTGAACCCGGGCCATCGCGGTGGAATTTATCACACATTCTTTCCATAAAAGGCAAAGTTATCCCTGTGTTTAACTAATTAAGTACTACGCCACGAAGACGCATGGGGGAATGGAGATACAGGCCTAGCTCCACCATTCTTGTTTTCGGCACTTATAGAGGTAACTGATTAACTTAACGTCCCGGCCGCTTTACCCCCAGGGAAAAAGTCCCCGGTACCCATTGTATAGGAGGATGAAAGGTCCCCAAATTGAGCTTCGACATTAAGGAATTAGAGAAAATTCTTGCAATTAGTGGGAATCGAACCCCGGCCGTGCAGCCCGTCGCTATACAAACTGAGTTATCCCGGATCCTAAACTCTTTCCATAATTATTAAAAATGCTCTGGGTATGTTTGTTGTCCCTCGTAATGTGAATGGTGAGTGGTACCTACCCATAGCCATAACTGCTTCCCCCCCAACTACGCCCACCCATACGATTAATCAGTACACCCTCCTCCTTCACAACTTTCATCATCCTTCTTATTGTGATTTTTTTCCCCCTTGGCACTACAGCCCCAGTGCGCCTAGGCCTACCTCCATGAACTTCTCCGTTCACTTCGGTTTTTCTAGATCTTACATATTCGGTAGGACTCCTTGGGCGGGTGATCAGCTCGTCGCAAGGCCTCTACCTGTACACAAACACAGAAAAACGCACACACACTAACTAAACATCCATGCCCTGAGTGAGATTCGAACCTACGATCCCGGTTTCCAAGCGAGCGAAGACAGTACATGCCCTTATTATGATTGGTTTAATTTTAAGATTCGACTGCTCGGTAGTAATGATCATCAGTGACTCATCTCAGAATTGTATTAACAGGAACGATAACCAAGTGAGTGAATAGGGAGCGGTGATAACGGGCAATGAATAATTAAAGATGGTTGGTTATGTGAACTAATACTTGAAGATTAAATTTATTTAAACACTAAAATCATTATCACACTAGTTTCTTAAACAGCAGTAGTACACCTTCAAAGTTTATACTTACGAAAGTTAGGATTAATTTATTAAAATGATAAATTCCCATAGATACAAATAATTAACTCTCCGGAACGCGAAGTTTCCCAGAAAAATTTATGGACTATTTTGATATCTTCATAGTGTGGCATCAGTCGTTGAATGTTGGAAGCGAACTCCCCGACATGAAAAAGGCTCTTAATCGACGTGATCTTCACGATACATCCATAGCATACTGAAATTCAGGCGAGGATAAAATCTGAATCGAACTTCGAGATAGGTCAGATGGTTTCCATATCTGAATACTGGGCATAAATTGACCGATCATTCTATGTTCTACAAATTTCACTACACTCATATTCTGAGCGACTCGTAAAAGGAGTTAGAAATCTTACGTGAGAACCGTTTCTAAATTTGATGTAAAACGAATTTAAATTGGCTCGAAGATACATGACTAGTAAAACTGTTACATAATCTTCTAGAAACTCCAGTTTTATGTCTGTGTCATAGGGGTTAGAGCGACAATGAAAAGAAACGTTTTCAGGAAATGCATTATCCGAAATAGTTATTGCACTTCTGACAAACTAAAAGTCACTTGAGGAATTATACTGCCCAGTATTTGGCGTGCCATATACTTTCTGGCTCTCTGGAAAAATGGATCTGCAGTCCATTCATGTTTTGACCTCACGAACTTTGATTTTTAAGATAAAGAAACCTGGTATATCACAGCCTGCAACTCTCAAATCATCGCTCGCTAGCCTAAAGCTGCTGAACTAGTGTAGTCGAGCAACTGAATAAGGAATAACCAAAAAGAGTTGACACCAAAGATTTTATCTTTATAGAAAGACTTGAAATAAGCCTTGTCCACTTTCTTCCATATCTTTTCAGATTCCAAAGTCACAAAAATTCTACTATAATCCATTTTCCGGATTATTACTCTCAGCAGTTGATACAGTGTCTTAAAATAACAGAAAACCCATAATCGGTACACCACTCCGCGAATATTCGTCTTATTTCCACTTTCCTTCTAATTATTATTCCGCCAGACAATCATTTGACTATATATGACATCTGCTGTTGAATCAGCGGCCCAAAACGTCCACAGAAGCATAGACGATACTATACTCCACAGAGTATTCATACAAGTCTTAAATAGGTCATTTGCCGTTTCCTTCCTTGGGCCTCATGATGTGTCATTCATAATCGTACTGTATTACACTATGTAAGGTTACATAGATGTTGGCAGCTGACCTAGTGTAAAATAGACACGTAACCATATATAAACCTATAATCCATTTTTAGTACACATCTCGGCTTCAAGTTGCCTACGACTACTTTCTTCCGATTCATACATAATTCATGCTCACGCAGTCGTAAGACATTTTGTAGCACATGGTCTTAGCAGTTAACCGCTTGCACCAAATACATACTCGTAAAACGTCCATGCATATATTCATTCTATACTACACCTGTGTTCCAGTAACCTATTTCAACTTTCAGTCCACGACGTTATACAACCGGAGAAGCATCTAACGCCTCTAGAATGGAATGATAAAATGTTTTAAAAGTCCTGCAGCCATCAATGATTGCAGATGGGTAATTACAACGTCGTGAAAGAACCGATTATACCCATTGTTCAATTCAACGCTACTTGACTGCTTATTTCCGGATCACTTACCTCGACTTATCCGTGATTTTTCTTGAGCCGGCGACGCGTCACTGTTGTTAAAACTCACTTTCGCATTTGTTCCGTCAGGATCCAGAGCTTGCTGCGTTTCATCCTGCGTGTCGCTTATCACATATTTCGGCATTTTGACAGATGTGGAAAACTACCTCTTCCGCACACTGTCTGACGAAGACTGCAGGAATACGGCGCAGAGGCACGGTCGAAACCGGTCGGCACGGTTCACCTCGGAGGTGAGGCGAAGTCCAAGACAGTGTCGTTCACATTGAGACCGCCGGATGGCGCTAACTCCTCATGGTAGTATTGTTAGTGCCACGTACATTGGTGCTATAAATAGCTTTTAAGACAAATTACAAAATGCTCTCGTTTGGAATCTCGACGGAGCTTGAAAAGAAAATATGTCTATTACAAATCTGTGCCACAAAGAATGTGCTTATATTTCTGTTTACGCCATTGATTTATTTATTTTTCTTGTATCTTCATTTCCGTCCACTCTCACTGGTGCACAACCCAAAAAGGCATTAAAGTAAACAACCTTGACACGCATTAATGTGGTACAGCTGTCTCATATTCTATTAGAAATGATAGCTGTAAACAGACGTCAGTTTTCAGAAGTGAAATAATAGGCAGGAATGGAATGTATTAGAAAAAATTATAGAAATATATAAATAATGTGTGAATAGTTTCAATATTTTTCATTCAAGATTCGAAGAAGCTCATTTTCTCAATTGAGTAGCCCAAGCATCAAGACAAGGGCAAAACCTGAGATGCAGGCTGTAAAAATGTAGAACCTGTCTATAACTGTTAATAGGTCGATGACTGTTATTCGCGCAAATTACATTGGCCGTAACAGCCATTAAATCCCAATACTTGTCAGGAAGAAGAAAAAGTAGGAGGAGGAGGAGGAGGAGGAGAGGAAGAAGAAGAAATGCATAAAATAAAGTTGTGTTGGGGATGTAGTATGTGTCTATCCCCTTGCTCATCTCCAAATTCTGGCTATTATTTGTCTCAAAAGTTGCTCGTCGTGCAAAATATCAGTACACACAGAATTTAAAATAGGAGCCAGAATTGTCCAGTCAGCGTAGAGAAGGACTATGGGCTGGACGGCCGGAGTTAGATTCCAGATAGAGGCAAGGTAATTTTCTGCTCCCCAGCCTCCAGACCGGCTCCGGGACCCAAAGGGCCTCCTTATCCATGGGGTACAGCAGACTCTTTCCCCGGGATAAAGGAAGTGGAGAGTGAAGCTGACCATTCACCTGTATCTAGTGTCGAGGTCAAGAATGCTGGAGCTATGCCTCCACTTCCCCATTTACCCTTTACCTTATAGTAAGTAAAGAAAGTAAAGTTATTCCTGTAACAGGCTGTGGAGGCCCATAGGGTTGTGAAATGTTCAGGCTCCCACATTTTCTAGACAATCGGCTCATAGATGACGTTGAGGTTGTCAGCCTTACGCGCCGGCCGCCCTTTACCCCAAGGAATATTCCTGGTACTCATTTCTGTTAGAGGCTGAGTCGACCCCATAGTGCGGCTGGAAGGATTAGGTCAATTGAAAAAAAATACCTCATCGGGATTCGATCCCGCAACCTTCCGACTTGTAGCATAGTGCCTCAACCAACTACGCTACCGAGTGCCCCACCTTTACCTTATTACATAATGTAAAGTACAGACTTTATGTATATTTGCAACTTCTGTTCCTGACATTTTTCAAAATTGAGTATATATAACAAATTGCAAGGAAAAATAATACATGACTGTATGCAGAGTGGCATCCCTGACGTAATTACCTTTGAAGCAACGTACTCGTATCTTCAATAAATTTGAGGTCAGTGAACTGCGTGCGGTCACTAGGAACGTATCTGGAAAGGAAGTGTGCACAGAACTGCAGTACGTCACTTCTCCACTCTCCTGAATTTAACTTTATGTTTCTAAAACCAATTATTATGTTTTATGATGTTCAGTGAGTAGTCACATTGTAGTCTGCTAGGTTATCTCACTGTGTACTATAGTTAAGCGGACACCATCTGAATCGAATCTGAAGAAGGAAATATTATGTTCTTCCGAAGTGTTGGTATCCATCCAGAAGGCTTCAGTCCGAAAATAAAACATTAAATGTTAATGGAATCTGAGATAATTCTTTTTTCTTAATTCAGAATGTTTTAATGTTGCGAACACAATTATTTCTGTGTCAGATACTTTTCAGAATAGAAATATATTTCATGGCCGATTTATACGTGAATTCAAGGATAGATGAGAATAAACTGCCAAAAACAACAATAAGCTACACTCGTAAACTAAGGACTATACTCTTAGATGGAAGATCTCTAAGAAGATGAAGAAAGCAGTCTTCTGGGATTTGGCACCGTGTATATGTGGTGTTATCCGACGTTTCGGAGCAGACTGCTTTACCGGTTCTCGCGGTCTCTTCGCTTGCGGATTTCTTATATTTTTCTTTCTACCCTGAAGATGGAGGCGATATGTTCCTCCGAAACGTCGGTTAACACCACATATACACAGTGCCAAATCCCAGAAGATTGCTTTCTTCACAGTCACCGCCGTGAAAGCCTCAAATCTCTAAGAAGATGTTTCCTTTAGAGGTTGGAACAGGCTGTAGGCTAATCCACTTATCCAGAAGAAGAAAAAAACAGTTTATGTGACTGGACAGTAGAGTTATTTGGGAATTCTGGCTACTGCTATGGCCACCAAAGTTTTTACACCTAATCAGCATCACCGAGCAAAGAGACAGCAAGTAAGGCGTCTCACCTATATTCGGGAAGTATGCAGTTTAAATTTCAGTTGCCTTGGCCTAGATCTCTTTTGGAATTCCTCAAACCAGGAAATTACCACTACTGCTTCCATCCTTAGTCCTGCAGTCTCAACATATGTAACTTCTTATTTCACTCACAGCAAAATACCCTCTGTATTTAACGTAAAAAGTAAAAAAAGTAAAGTTGTCCCTGTGCTTAACTAATTAAGCACTAAGCCATGAAGACGTACGGGGGAGTAGATGTATAGACCCACGTTTCTTGAACTCGGTATTAGTTGGAGGTGAGTGGTCAGCTTCACGCCCTGGCCGCTTTACTCCCAGGGAAACAGCTCCCAGTACGGATTCGATAGGAGGCTGGGTAGGTCCCAGAGCTGATCTGGACGATACGGAGAAGTGAAAATTCTTACCCCCACCAGGACTCGAACTCCGGCCCGTTTGTCGTCCAGCCTGTAGCCAATCGGTAGGGTCTTTAAATATGGCATGAAATGTTGTACTCTGTGGTAAAGCGGTCGGAACTGGAAACTTAAAGTCCAGCTGTTATCGAGCTTACGTAAAATGATCTCAATGGACATGAACTAACCTTCGCAGTTTATACAGCATCGTTCAGTAACTTCCTATTATTCTTTCCGTAGAATATCGAAGCCTGCGACTGCGTGGACCTTTACCTCTATGAACTTTGTTGTGTCAGCCGAAGAAGTTGCCCTTAGGTACACGGATTATTTACGTCCAACGAAACGCATGTCATTCTAAAAATGTACTGGATTAGAGGGGTAATTGAAATGTTGGGTTCATCAAGACATCATCCACATTTTTACTTCAATCTGGGTAGAAATTATTTTGGAACAGCTTCAACACGGAAGCCTGGACCGGGTTGGAGGGGGGCAGTGTTACGGGTCGGCGTTGGTCACCGCAGACAGTACACTTCTGGCCACAGCCCAGAACTCGTGCCTCCATATGTGTGTCACGCAATTCCAAGATAATTCTGAAACTGAGGTTCAAGTAGCTGGCGTGTTAGTAGAACTGAAGATTCCTCTTTGTTCTCTTTCATGTTGAATATATATATATATCTCTGGTTTTTAGGTGTCTGAAGAAAGGCGGTCGTGCTGTTGTCATATCTGTTCATATGCCTGTCCGTCCCGTATTTACGGGCATCAGTATTACAGATTGTAGCTCCATGGGACAGATTCCTTCTTTAAAAGTTGAAGTCGATCTGATGGTAAAAACTAGCTGCCTTTATGGAATTCAACGACTCTTCAGTGACTTCACAAGAGTCCGCCCATGTGTCTGAGCCAAATAAATCCACTGCACACCATGATATTTATTTCTTTAAAATACTACCCTCCCATAGACGTCTAAGTGTACCAAGTAATAATTTTCAACGATTTTCGTGAAGCAAGGTATAACCATCATGCCGCTGAAAGCCACAAATAATTCACTCTCATAAACTATCAAAGTCTCTTATGAAAACACCACTGATACCCTTCAGTAAAAGCCTTATAATTTTGAATGTTGACAGAATTTTCTGAAACACGTTATGAAAATTTTGGGGAAGAAAAACTGCAGACGGCACAAAACAGTTTTGGATATTGAAAGCTTTAACATGTGAACTTTCAATAATATGACGTTTTAAACATGTTTACATTTTTTTAACATAAAACAGTTTCATGTTAGTTTGCTGTGCTGTGATTTCCTAAAACTGAAACGAATTTCGGAGATTGCAGAATTACATACTTGTTGAGTGATTAATTCCTTGTTTATTTAAAATATAATCTAGTTGCAGTGATTATTCAACAGTGAATTGGAAGACGATTCTTAGAGACGAAATATAAATTATGTCGAAGGAAGTGGTAGTGGAATATTTAAAATATTATCCCAGCATTTGACTGAAAGGGCTGAAGATCGCCACGAAATTCCTCGATTAGTCCAACTGATCTCTGAGATGATGATGATGATCGAAGTGGAGACCTTCAACTATGAAATAGGAGTGATAATCACTTAAGCACGACTTTTCTGTCATATTTGTTGCAGAGGCTGAAAGTAAAGCACAGGTTTCAACCTGATTCGAAGAACACTATTTTAAACAAACTTGAAACCAAGAAAATGTAACAGCAAATTCGATCTGTCGACAATCAATCTTACAGCAGTGTCATGGGGGAAGTCTAATTAGCCACATAAGTAGGAGCTCGACATGATCGTTCCGATGCACGAAGGGCTAAATTAACGCTAAGCTACATCAGTGGTGGAAGATCGCTTTATTGGTTTTATTGCTGCATTTACTGGTAACACATCAGGCAAAAAAAAAAACGAACAGAAAATACGACATGCACTAACGTTTGTGTGCTGTGTACTTTGAGGATCTAAGGAACTGTACTTTTACGGGAAAAAAATAAAAAATATGTACATAAAATTTTATAAATCGTAACCGTGAGCCACATTTTAAGGTCCACAAAAGGTATGAAGCTAATGTCGTATTATGTTCATGCACCTGAGGATAACCTCAAGGGACCGACACATGTAAGGCCATATATCTAATGTAATTTTTTCTGTTAAATTTGTTACATTTAATGGATTGTTATTTCAGGAATTAGTCTTAAATCCTTGAATTTCCGAAACATCAAGTCGCACTGCCTTTTTATAATGGAGTCAGCCAAATAGGAGTCTGGTGCTATATGCCAACCATCTCATTATCATATATTTTACAAATTTAATAATTTTTTAAGAAGGGTATTAATATGGCCTAGTTATATGGCTTCACATTCTGAGATGTTGTTAATGCACTTGTTACTTGTTCTCTCTCTCTCTCTCTCTAAGGTTCAAATACTATCCCGGACACTCTGTCCTTATACATCCTCAATCCATGTTCCTCCTTCAGGATAAAAGGGAACGTTACACTCTCGTATAAACAAGAAACAAACAAAAACAGACTCCGTGGTTTTAGCCCGCAAGCGAACTATACCGATCGAGCAACCGCCGTTTATCGGCGAAGTTAGTGCCAAATTTAGCGGATAGAGGTGTCGCGTGTTCAGCTCAAGGAATCCCAACGGCCGTTAATTTCGGTTTTCTAGACCGTCATGTAATCAACAGGTAAGATTAATGTTTGGTATATTCATTTAATCATAGGTTTCCAGATAAAGGCGGGAAGATAAAATATATTTTACTGAGTAATAAATAAGAATTTCCCGAAATTAATCTTCTCTTAATTCCATCATCGAGGTAATTCTGAATTGTTGCTGACGTTCCCAAATAAAGGATAGTCATTTGTAATTATCTGAGAGTTGTTCATTAAATTTAAGTAATGTGATAATTCATTTGAAAATTTTTCAGGTTTCAGTGTTTTCCACATTGTAGTCAAAAATGGAGATCCAGACACGAATTTTCATACCTTCAACAGACATTCTATACTGATTAGCCAGCTTATTACATGAAAGAGTGATAAGAGACAACAATTCTGAATCAATAATAAAATACAAATGAAATAAATGCAAACACGTGCCACTTTTAGAGTGTTTAATGTTATGTATCAGTCGTACATGGAAATATAGACTGTACTTTTAGAGTTGAATGTGAATTTAACTGTATTTTTGCACAGTAAAAACACACTTGACTGTACAGCTAATATTTTGCTCCGTAAAATTGGTTCTTTCATTTATGTCTACTTAGAAATACGCGTATTATGAGATGCCACTGATACTAGTAATGCTAGTAATACTATAAATGATACTAATACTACTTCCTGGTGTCATAACAAGATTGTATTTACGTAAAAATTAGAAATGGAGGATTTCACCAAGCTTTGACGAAACTAGGCTTCTATTTTGTTGAATCTATCTCTGGCAAAATGTATGGCAAATGCATTAATTGCAGGAGCCCGATAACTTCCCGATGGAGACGCCACATCGATACCCGTGTACTGACTGTAGATGAATCTCGAAGGATGTGGATTTCAGTCAATCATCAACTCGAAGTGCACAAAGCCACGGCCTTTCTCCCGGTTGTACTCGATGTTGGGGGCCCATAGTCTGCACTCGATGTTGATAAGAACACCAGCTGCAGAATTAGATACAGTTCAGTTACAGAAAAAAAAAGTATTTGTAACTTAAAAACAAATCCTATTCAATGGGCCCTGGTCTTTCAAGACATGGCGAGCCCTCAGGTTTAAGAT